CGCTGTAAGTCAGAATCAACTAAACTGCAATGGTTTTGGGTTTTTTTTTTTTTTTTTTGGGCCGGAGGGGGCATCACCTACATAAAGGACTAAAGTATTAGGAAGCTTTACAAAATTAGTAATAAAAATAATGATCAGTAGACAAATTAGCAACATTGGAATCGTAGCTTGGAAGTCATGTATATCTTAGGTCACACAGAGTCTACTGTGATGTTTATAGGAAATATTCATATATCATAACGTACATTAGGACAGTGGTTCAACCTTAGGTATGCTACACATAAAAGCTACAGAAAACGTCAGGTTTCAACCACACTTTCCTCTGACTTAGAATCTTCAAGGTTGAGGACTGGGAATGTGTAGCTTGAGAAAGCAACACGGGTAGATCAAACGTGCAAATGTGGACCTCTACCCACTAGTCAGCACAAAGGAATCTTCCTCTAGAGGAAGAAATACGACCTCCTGAAAATCCGCACGGCAACTCAAAGGGTACGTGTGGAGCGCAAAGGTCTGAAAACACCAGGCGCCGTCCGGGTGCCTCACGGCAACCCCACGGGTGACAGAGCAGAACTGTGCTTCATAGGGTTTTCAATGGCTGACTTTTCAGAAGTGGATCACCAAGTCTTTCTTCTGAGGAGTCTCTGGGTAGAAATGAGCTCCAACCTTTCAGTTAGCACATTGACCACTTACACCACCAGGAACTCCCAGGAACAAGGTTTAGGAAACCTCCAGTTTAAAGAATCCCTGGAAACACTTTTCAGGTTACTTAAGGAATGGAATTCAACCGACCTTAAAAACTTTGAGACTAGCTTAAGAAACTCTTTGGGGACATCTTATCAGACTGCTGAAGGGCACCTTTTAAAAATTACTGAACAGGATTTAAGATTTACCAGCAAGGAGGGAAAACACAATGCTGAGTATCAATTGACACATTAACCAAGAGTTCCAACGGTGAAGTGAACTGCTTTCAAAATAAAGCACGTTAGAAAACATACACTGTAACACGGCACAAATAAACGACAACACAGAACAGTAATTTGCAATTAAAACAGCACCTCTGAAATCTATGTATACGCATGTTCACGTGGTCCTTCTTTTCAGAGCATCTTTCAAGGAATTATTAATTAGGCCCATGATTTACAAATCCTGAATTTGATAAACTACATACATTGAATTGTACAAAAGTCACATAATCTCAAGTGTCTTTAAAGTGAGCAAGACTTATAAGAGCTGTGAAGGTGATGATGCAGACATTTTATCAACTTTATAGGGAAAAAAAGTTTTTGTTTGGCTCCACCGCAGTGAAATAAAGCTAGATACAGCGTGGAGAGACGGTAAGGCTGACCCACATCCAACTGAAAGTCAGCTAAAACCTCCAGATCCTGGAGTGAGAAATTCATGTGCAATCTATGCTCTCTCTATATTTTTTGAACCTAAAAGGCAGGACTTTATATTTATCCTCAGCAAATCTTATTTCAAGTCATAATTTCAACTTGATTACTTTTCAGTCCTGAGTAGCTCGCACATCTAACTTTCCCTTCCATGTATGGGATCTGACTATTGTTGGCAAGCTTTTAATTTTGTCTTCTGATTAAGAATATGGAGCCCTGGTGGCACACTGGTTAAAGTGATCAACTGCTAACCGAAAGGTCGGTGATTCGAAACCACCAGAGCACTCCACGGGAGAAAGATATGGCAGTCTGCTTCTGTAAAGATTCACAGCCTTGGAAATCCTATGGGGTCGCTATGAGTCGAAATTGACTCAGTGGCAGTGGGTTTGGTTTCTGTACACATATATACGTACATATTTTTTCCAATTTTTTCTTTTCAATTTAAAGAGTAACCGGTTGACTCTGCATATATGCCAACTCCAAAACTACCTAAAGAAAAAAGGTAGGATCCTTAAAACTAAAGTAACTTACCTTATATACTTAACTCCTTAACATCAAGTTGACACGCTGATTTCGTGTGATAAAGAATTACACCGTACCACGTGGGGTATGGAGACCAGGTGAGGTCAAATCACAGGGCTTTAGTGGCTAACAGTCAAGTTTGGAAACACTTACTTTCCCAAAAGTAAAAACAGGTTTTAGTGCCATACCATCATCAGTTTTTATAAGCTCAGGATCATTCACAGGAATTTAAAAAAAAAAAAAAAATCAGGCACAGTGGCAGATTATTTTAATAGTTATATTTCAAACAGATACAACAAATGAGAAAACCTTTCTACTTCACTGGCAGGTAAACCTGGGTGCTAATAAAGTTATACACATTTACACATGAGCTGTCAAAACGGCTCTCTTATATCCTTCCTTTTGTTACGTGGTCAATCTTCAAAGTAGAAATACAGGGAGAAAACTCCATCGTCAAGGCACCAGAATCCTCGCGGTACATTTATCACCTTACGTGAAGATCTCATCGTGAAGGAGCTCTCAGCCATAAGAAAGAAGACACAGGAAACAAAGAAAAAACTCTGTTCTTCCCACCCAGAAAGCGGTCTCACCTTCAATCCTAGCTTTCTTTACACCAACGGATTCCGAATCTTCCAAGGACCTCTTTCGGTTTGTTCCCATACTAACATGATTTGGAAATACATTCTGATGAACCCCATTTAAGGTGCCATTGTTATAGAAACAGTTCAGATGACAATTCTGAAGGTTCAAGAGAAACTGGGTACACTCCTGAAAACCCTGGGTTTGCGCAATGTCTGCCGCCGTCAGGCCGCTGGCATTTCTCAGGCTGCGTGACACAAAAACACTGAGTTACACCCCGTTAGTGTCCGCGCGGGGACTCTGCTTCTGCTGAACTGACTGACTATCTGAGGGCCATATGAATGATTACACAAATTTACAGCAAATTTCCATTAAAGAAGTACTTAATCATCCTAGTTCTGTAACTAACTTTGCTCTTACACACATTTGATTTCTAAGCACAATTTGGGAGACAGTAATTTAAAAATCAATATACTAAACTGTTTTAAAAAGGCATCTTCCTATTTAACTTCTCAAGGCCATGTTTTACGTTAGTCTGAAGAACCTAAATTTACGCTAACTTCAGACTTGACCTGAAACTGAATTCTACATTATCTGTACTTAATTGTAATAATTCATTCCTTTAGCTTGAATAAAATTATAACAGACAGACACGTACTGAAATTGTCCATGGCATTCATAACAACTGCTTCCTGGACGCAGGAAGACCTGGCTTACCAGGAAGCTCCAGTTTGCTCGAGGCAGACTTCGTGCTGACATGTGACACTCTAAGTGGAAATTCAGAAGGGCGCCCTGACCCTAAGGTAGAGTTCATCACCAGATTTACAAAGCTGGAGGTTCTGCACTTTGTTTTCTGCCCTTGCTTTGAAAAACCTGCAGAAGTATTAAATCTTGGCATTCTAGAGCATCTAAGTGGATACTTCCTTTGAAAAGCCTTCTATTACTATCCAAGGAACTTATTCCCTAGGTTAAGATTTCTACCCTATAAAGAACCAAGATCCTCTCACTTGGCTAATAACACTAAAAGTAAAGCTACTGCATGTTCTACAGTAGCTAAAAGTCAGATTACAGTAGAAAGTGGTAGCAGAGTACAAATAAAAGATTTGAATAAGAAGAATATACAAGAAGCAGTTGAACTTGTAAACCTTAATTGGAATACAGAATAAAAATGGAGGGAACAAAAGCTACTGTGTTGAAGCTTCTCTGGGAGACAAAAATACACTGTCCTGTGAAGCAGACCTGCAAAAACACAAAACATTCTGTTAACTGCAGACTGACAGCCAGAAATTGTAGAAGCACCAAGTAACAAAGACAGCTTCTATATTTAACTAGCAAGCTATGCTCTATCCAGAGCAATATCCAGGTGACACCAAATTAAAGGCCTTATTTTGCATCAATGAAATAACCACCTATACTACTCGACAGCCTTGCTCCCTGGGGCTGCTACTGCCAAGGCAAACATAACTGTGAAAGTGCAAGCCACAGAACCAGGGACAAACGGCCGTTCCCCACTTAGAAAGACAGCAACAACCTCTGCATTCCTCTCTCTAGTTATCAGACTCATGAATCTCCAACCTCAGAAACAAACAAAAAACATCTACTTTTTGGATAATCAATCTCCATTGTTTTAAAGCACGAGATAAAAAAATGTGTCATACATTTTGAAGAAAGGTGAAAGCCCAAATCCAATTTGATCAGAGATTAAAAAAAAAAAAAAAAGACTTGAGAATCCCAGAAACCAACAAAATTTTCTTAAAAATATAAAGCATTTGTGTCTAGTATTATTATAAACTAAAATGGACATTTTCATTTGCCATAAGACTTTATGGTTGTGAATTCTGATGAGCACTATTACAGAATTTCATGTAATTTTCATTTCCATATATGAATTAAATGAAAAGAAAATACCAAATTTGGGGCAGAGTTAATTATGTTAATTACACATGTACAAAATGATCATATACTTAATTTTGAAGTATAACATATATAACCACACAAATGGTAAGTGCATAGGTGGATTATTTTTAGCACATGTACTTCATTTTCAGAAGATCTCAAAAGTGAAGATGGTCCAGAGAATATCTACTGTAATTTAAAAAATGTGAACAGAAAAATAACTTGCAATCTGAAGATAAAAACTTTAACTGTTTAAAATGAGAAAAGAGGAAGACTGAGAACATAAGTTTATAAAATAATCATTCCTACAGATAAATACGAATTTATGTTCCAAAGTAAAAGAACAGAGAAACGAGAAGCTGCCCCTTGAAATCAGGACTAATAAAAACACTGCTTTGATGACGCTGACAGTAAAGATTACTCCTTAGTGGACCAGAGAATAAAACAGCAGCAAATGGTTGTGAAAAGTGGCAGTTACGATCACAAACGCCAGTTCAGAGAGGAAACTTAAGATGCTTCAGGGCCATGCCAAGATTCTGAAGCTGGGAAAAGAATCACCACCAAAACATATTCAATCCCTTTACTCCTCATTCAGAAAATAAATACTAGACTGAACGGCAGTTTTACTGTTCTTCCAAGGAAATGCAACCTAAAGAAAAATAAGCAACAAGTTATTGCCAATATCTGGAGACAAGCCAGGACTATAAACATTTGAGTCAGAGTGCTTTCTAACACCCGGATCGTCAGGCTGAGGTCTCCCAGTCTTGCCTTCTCCTCCATCAAAAGTAGCAAAACACTTGCACATCACTTTTACTTAGACTGCTGTTGCTGTTAGGTGCTGTCAAGTCGATTCCAACTCACAGTAACCCCATGTGTGCGGAGCAGAACTGTGCTCCGTAGTTTTCAAGGCCTTTTGGAAGCAGATTGCCAGGCCTGTCTCCTGAGGTGCCCCTTGGTGGGTTCGAACCGCCAATCTTTCGGCTAGTTGAGTGCTTAATCATGTGCGCCACCCAGGGACTAGAACCAACCAAATTTCTAAGCGGCTTTAGGTATTATCTTCAAAATATACCTCAACTAAAGAGAAGCCCAGAGAAGGGCTAAAGGGGAACTTGTGCTATGCACTCCCACGGATCAACAAGGAAGGAAAGAACAATCACAGGTCAAGCTGAACTTCCACTGGTTTTCTCACAAAATTTTGGGGCCAGCAAGTGAGGTTGATCCAAAAAAGGTGAAATAATAAATTCTAGAAAACTTATGGACAGACACCAGACTCTGGGGCAGACAGTGATGGGGAAAGAATTAATTAGGAGATTATAATTTTGCTCAGTGTCTGGCACTATCCCTTTAATATCACCAGAAGTAAGAATACACAGATCCTTCCTCTGCTTCTACTTCACAATAAAAGATTTCAAATATACCATTTCTCATGTTACTAGGGACTGATTATATACAATATGTAGTTTAATCTTATTTCAGTTTATACTCTTCTCAATCAAGAGGATCTGTTAATACCTCACTCCAGCACAGCTGTTGGTCTTACAAACAAAACCAACACCAATACCAACCACCACCACCTGCTTCTCTTGCCTCCAAATGTCCTCCTTCCATCTCCTCTCCCCACTTACCTACGTTTGATGAGGCCCACTCTCTCCCTGTCGAATGTTACCTCCCCTATTTCTCCTCTGTGCGCGTAAAAAAATCTTGCAAATGACTGCTCAGCTGTGTGCTCCACACCACAGAAACTGACCTGAAAGGAAAATTACCAGGACCAGCTGCTGAGAGTCCATTCCGACTCAGGGCGACGGAGCGTGTGCGAGCGCAGCACTGAACTGCCCTCCACAGGGTTTTAAATGGCTGAGTTTTTGGAAGCAGATCATGAGGCCCTTTTGGTTTTTCCCAGCTGTTCTTTTCAGGCACCTCTGGGTAGACTTGAACCTCCAACTTCCAGTTAACAACCAAGTGTATGAACCGTTTACATCACCCGAGGGCTCCAAAGTGAACACTAGGGGTCATCTGTTCCAAGGATCAGCAGATGTTCTCTGTAAAGGGCTAACAGTATTTTGGGCTTTGCAGGCCATACAGTATCTGTCACAACTACTCGACTGTTGATGTGGCCTCAAAGGACCTGAGACAACACATAAAACGATGGAGCATGACTATGTTTATACGTTCTTTCCTATTGTTAAACCTTTCTTGATGGACACTCAAATTTGAATTTCATGTTATTTTATGGGTCATGAGATATTATCCTACTTTTATTTTCCCAGCCCTTTACAAACGTGAAAACCACTCTAAGCCTGCAGGCTATACAACAAAGCCAAGCAGTGGGCCAGATGTGATGAGTAACATTTAACCGAAGAGAAGACATCGGCAACTCTTCCTCTGCCCCTAATAATGGGTATCTGGCCATCATTTCCTGGAGATGTTTATTAATTTTATACACTACTCAATCCAAATGAAAAAAAAAACCCTTTAGAAAAGTTGCCAAGTCTGTCCCAAAATGTTAAGTATCTAAAGAACATCTAAATATCTAAAGAAAAACATCCAGGAGAAGAATGTAAAATAAAAGATCTTGGAACAGCAAAGTTAACACCTGTAGTTAATATAACCACTCCTTCTCCATCGGAGTATTTTCTAAGTGCCTCCCGTTCAATTAGCCAACGTCGTTAACACGAATAAGGCGAAAACCACCTTTACGGGACTCAACTCCTCGTTGTTTTTAGTAGCTGAGTAAGTAGACGGGACCTTCCCATGTTTATCAAGGCTGAAAAGCATGTGATCTTCAAAGGGAAAGACTAGAATCCATAATTATTAAATGGTATAGTTCTCAAAGGAGGCTTGGTGGCTCAGGGGTTAAGTGCTCGGCTGCTAACAGAAAGGTAGGTGGTCCAAACTCACCCGCATCCGTGGGAGAAAGACGGGGCAGTCTGCTTCCATAGATTTACAGCCTTAGAAACTCTAGGGGGCAGTTCTACCCTGTCCTGTAGGGTCGTTAGGAGTTGGAACAGACTCAACAGCAGCTGGGTTTTTGGTTTATAGTTCTCAAAACGCTTTTAATTTTTAATGTAAGAGATTCAAGGTTTTAAAGTGTTTTTATATATACTTTTCTATTAAGTAAGGATTCAATTTTGATGTCTGAATGGCTGAAACAATAATCCTGGTTAAAATATATCCCCTTATTAATAAACCTTCAGACTGTACTTAAGTGTTTCATGTTAAGTAGACATCAAGTCTAAGTTATCTGCCTATATCTTCCTAAATTTAAATGGGAGCAGGGCATGAATGAAACGGGATTTACAGATTCTATGATAATTTCACATTCAAATTTTATACTTTATTCTGTTCCAGTAT